GCCTCCCTGGCCCCATGACAAGCCCCAGGTTCAGCCCATCCTCTTGGTGGCAGATGAGGAGGCCGAGTTCTGGAGATGTCAACAGACATGGCCCCGCTCACGCAGACAGCCATAGCAGGGCCGCCCTGGGACCTGTTCCCAACTTGAAGCTCAACCCAGAGCTGAGCTGCCTCTTCTGTGCAGATCTTAAACCCAGAGGGGAAGCAAGAAAGTTGTCTTCCTCCTCTATGGACCCAAAAAGCATTCCTACCAGGGGTAACTTCTGTTCTGACTCATAAAGATATTTCTGAATAATAGCACTAGTCTCTTTATCTCTGGAATGTATCCGGCTTCACACACACACACACACACAGGAACTACCCTGTTCCTGCCTGAGTCTTTCTAGGGCAGTGACTACTCAGAGTCTGCAGAGCTGTAAGCTGGGGGCCAGAAAGGCCTCATTTGCATATATGCTTTCTGAGAAGTGTTGCACAAACTCCAATATAATTCTGAATGTAATCTAAGGGAACTAAATGGCTTTCGTTGTTGTTTTCTAATGGAAGGTAACACACAGTAAAAGTAAATAAAGGGCCCTCATCTGAGGGGCGAGCTTGATGGATTTTTAGAATTCATACCCGTGGAACCACCAGCTAGATGCAGATCACTCGGTTTAATATTACCATGACGACTGCCTCTAGAGCAATAGTATCTTCACGGCCCGTTTTCATTTCTTCTCATTGGTGTATATCCCACACGAGAAATGGGAATCATGGTGGGCAGAGGTACATGCCACGTCTCAGAACACTTCAGCTGGGAGGGCCCCCCTTGGGATTTAGATGAGGCTGAGGAAGGCCACAGGGGCGGGAGGGAGCACTGCCTATTCCCCCAGCTGTGTTCCCCAGATGTGCATCTCTCTTGACCAGCGTCTCTCTTTTTTCTGCTCCCCACACCGGAGGGATACAACCCATTGCCCCCGGATTAGTGGCTGGGTGTATCCGTGCCGTTTAAAGGGAGGGGAGGTGCGGTCTGAGAAAGCCGTGCAGGTTGTTTTGATGCCGCCCCCGCTGAGATGAGGTGTGAGACTCACTGATTGACTGTATTTCCCCATCCCGAAATGCCGCCATGAGAAGATACATGGGGGTTTAACAGCATCTATGCTGGTTATCTCCCATTTGCCGAGGGTGTGCCTTCCCCACCCCCACCAGATCCACTGTCCACACCCTTCCTTGCCCTTCTCTGTGCCCTGAGAGGCTGACCTCCCTGGACTGCCTTTGACCAGAGATGGGGGAGGAGGTGGGAGGGATGGGCCTGGCATCCCTTCGCCAGCCCCTTCAGCTCTCTCTCTGGCAGTGGTTGCCTTTCCCTCCTGCTGCCTGGTCCTCGTTCATGGCCCCAATGCACACTGGGTGTCAACATCACTGTGTTCTCCCCTGGGTCACAGTTCCCAGCTGCTGCTAGGCTCTGGGTGTCACAAGATCCTTGTGCTGTCTTAGTCCCGTCCGCGCCTCTGTCTGGAGTTTCTCCATCAAAGCCTCCCCCTTTGAACCACAGGGTTGAAGTCTGTTTCCTGATGGACTCCTGGCGGCTTCAGAGGTTTTCGGATAAACAGAACCGCTTCCATATGAAATAGTCATTGATTATGAGGGGCACCCGGCTTTCAGAAATGTTAAAACATCATCAAAGTGTGCGGCGTACTATAGAGAAAGGAGGGCAGGTTCGCTCAGGTGTGGTGGGTAGAGGAGGGCTGTGGGCCATTAAGAGTTTGCCTCTGACCTGTCCAGGCTGGGAACACGGGTAACCTGCACGTAAAGTCAGGGGCGTTGGGTCTGAGTTCAGGCTCTGACACCCACAGGCTGGGAGACCTGGAGTAGGCTGCCTTGCCACGCTGCTCCTCGGCCTCCTCTTTGGCAATCCCGAGTCACCTCAATTGGTCAGGGTGATGTGAGGACAAGTGAGGCCACATCCGTGAAAGGGCTTCATGAATTACCCAGCCCTCAGATGTGTGGGCCAGCCCAATCCAAGGGAGGCAGCCATCCTGGGATTCTAGTCAGGAGCCACACGTTGGGCTGGCGGGACAAAGGAGAAAGCTGGCAAATGCAGGCAAGGGAGGCCCCAGAGATCCAGAGACAAAAATGAGAGGGCACTGTTCTCCCCACCCAGCTTAGGCTGAGTGAGGTGCGAGGCTATTTATTCAGCAGAGAATTAGGTGTCTGACAAAGCCATGGACCAACCGGATGAGGTCCATGCTTGCTGGGGACCAGTAAGAGAAACAAAGGCTGCAGTAGGAGGCGGGTCCTGCAGTGTCATGGAGGCCCAGCTGCTCTTCCAACCCGATCACTAGCCCACTAATCAATTCTCCTGGACAAATTCCCTCCCTCACTTTCTTGACCTTTGACCAGGAATAATACTCACCTCAAAGGTTTGTTGGGAGGACTGCGTGAGCCACTCCCGGTACAGTGTTCAGCCTGGTGCCTCTTGGTAAGCTCTCAGTAAGGCTGGCCTCTGCTCCCCTTAGTTATGTTACTCCGGGAGCCAGAGGACCCTTTCGCACTGGGTGATCCTGCACTGATTCCCACAGAGGGAGCAGTGGGCTTGGAAGCTGAACTCGAGGTTTGGCCAGACCAGCGCCGGTCAGTGCCCTCCGCACCAGGGCTCAGCTCTGTGTGTCTGGCCCGAGGAGGCCTGAAAGGTGAGGGCAGGCTGCAGAAGGCAGCACGAGCTCTGGAGCAGGGAAGGCCGGGATCAAAGCGCTCGGAGGCAGGCCGGGGCGCAGCCAAGGGAGGCTAGCGACTTGCATCAGCACAGATTCCGTGATGCTCTGCAGACTTCTCGGGGCTGCTGGGCTTTACGGGAACCCACAAGAAAGGAAAGGGCCGGGGACCGGCAGGGCGGGGGCGGCGAGGGCGCGACGGTGCGCTCTCCCGCCCGCGCGCTCCCGGCGGCGCCTGCCGGGCTTGGGCGCGCCCGAGACGGCCGGGGCCGCTCCCGCTCCCTTTTCCCCTCCTTCTTTCCCCCCGCGTTACTGGAAGGACTGTGTGGGAGAGACCCAGAAGCACCCGGATTTTCGAGTGCGGGGCCGGGGAGGGCCGGGCAGCCTCTGCAGGTCAAAAGAAAACGAAAAGTGCATCTTGTTCACGCCTCTTGGACAGGCGGCTGCTCTCTGGAGAGCCCTGGCACCGGGGATGCTCTCTTTTGCCGGCCCAACAGCTGCTTCCGCCCCCCCCCCCCCCCCGACTTCGCTGAGGCGCGGGAAAGGGCAGAGAGAGAGAGAGAGAGAGAGAGAGAGAAGAGAGAAATGAGAAAGTGTCACGATTTCTTCTGCAGCTCCCTCCCACACGGTCCCCACCCCCAGTTTTCTGGGTTTTGCCGCTGCCGCTGGGGAAAGGGCTGATTGGTTTTGCGTCAAAGGACTGCATTTACTCAGTCCTGCTGGGAGAGGCACGTAAACAGCTTGGCAGGCGGCGCTCAGGGATTTTAAGACACACACACACCTAAGCCCCCGCGGCCGACGCGTGCACCGCCTGCCCCGCGCCCCTCGCCCGGCCACAGAGGTGGAGACTCCGCCCCGGCCGTCGCGGCGGAGGTCGAGGAGTCTGCCTCGCCTCGCCTCGCCTCGCCGCCCCGCGCGCGTCCTTGGGGATGGAGCTCGGGACAACTGTAAACAATGACCCCGAGTATTGTTTGGGATTACCGTATCTTGGGGCCATTGGGGCGGCCAGATGCCGCCATGCCGCCAGCCGCCCCGGAAACGCCAGCGCTTTATATAGAGCCCCGGGAAGGCTTTGAGTTCCCGGCTCTATTTTCTTTCCTTGCAACACCCCCACTTTACAGATAAGGAAACTGAGGGGCCGGAACTGTGATGTGTTACAGTGCACAGCGCATCACAGCCTTCACGCATCTTCCCCTCGGGTCCTCACAAGGATCTAGGGGTGTAAAAATGGCGCCACTTAAGAGTTGGGTAAACTGAGGCTAAAGCAGAGCCGGGACCAGACCCGAGCTCCTTGACTCCTCGCACAGTGCTCCTCCGGACCGCCTCTGCAGAAAGGTTTCAGTTCCAGAGCTGACAAGGGCCTTGGAAGGTCACCTGCCTCCAGCCCTTCGTTTTATAGGGAGAAACTGAGGCCCAGAGACCTTGAGGGACTCGCCTGAAGTCCCACAGCTCGTGAGCAGCACAGCCTGGCTCCGGGACCCAAGGCCTGGGCGCTTTACCCCAACCTCGCCCCGCCCGGCTCCACGAGGCGGGAAGACCTAGGAGTCCGACTACTTTGCTCCTTGAACTTCGCTCCAAAACAGCTGAAGACAACGTTCGCCCACACCTTCTCCCAGGCTTCCCTCCTTCCCTGGTGGTTGTCGTTGTTGTTGTTGTTGTGTGTATGTGCGCGCGCGCGCGTGTTTTAATTTCTAACAGACTGGAGTTTGCTTTTAATGCCTGATTGCTCCTATTAGGTGCGTTCCAACTGCCCGGCATAGGGGGCGGTCGTGATGTCTTGACTTGATTAATTTCGTCTTCCAGGCTACTCCTATGAAATTAATGGGAGGGGGGGGGCGGGCAGAGGGAGCAGTGTACAGCCAGTCAGAGGGGAAAATTAGGCAGCCGGCCCCGCCCGGCGGCGCCGCGCCTCGCCCAGCCCGGCCGCAGGGCGGCGTGGTACCCTGCGTGCCCGGGGCGCCCGCTGCACCCCGCGGCGCCGCAGAGGGCGCCGACGACCACGCGCGGCCGCGCCCTCCCTGCGAGCGGCTCTCCGCGCCCGGGGCTCGGCCTGGCGTTGGCGCCGCACTGAACCGCCTGTCTCGCCCTTCAGAACTGTGATTATTCTCTAAAACCCGGCGCCGAGGCCCGCGCGGCCGCTTTCGGGGCCGCCCCCCGCCCCTCCCCAAGGCTGGGGAGGGGGGCAGGGGGGACGCTTGCGGCGCGCTCAGGAGCCCGAGAGGTAATCCCTGTCCCTACACGTCACCCGAAAGCAAGGGAACCCGCACTCGCGTCCTCTAACGCAAATGACCATCTTTGGCAACCTGCGCCAATGGAACAGACCAAGGGCGCGGGGCCGGGGGAGGGGTGTGCGGGGGCGGGCGAGGGCCCCTCGGCTCCCCCAAACCGCGGGGGCCAGCCGCTCCCACCCCCGCCACCACCTTCCTTCCTAGCACTGGGTGTGCTGCTGGCGTCAGCGCCGCCAGGAGAACAAGCAGGGAGGGGAGCGCTGCGCCCGCCCCCTCTCGCGCCTCTTCCTCCTCCTCCTCCTGGGCCTCCTTCCCCCGCCTCCCTGCGCGCTCCTCCCAGCAAGGTTGACGTGAGTGAATCCACATGGTACAGGGGCTGGAGAATAAAGAGTGTGGAGTTGAACTCGTGCCATTGTAGTGACTCATCTCGGGCAGAGCACAGGGGCTCCGAGCGAAACAGCGAGCGAGCGAGCGAGCGGTGCTCGGCGGGGACAGAGGGAGAGAGAGACGCGGACGGGCGAAGCGGGCCTGTCCAGGAGCGGGCGCCCGGGAAGGGGTGCAGGTCTAGTCGCCAGAGCCGCGGCACCGGCACCGGGAGCGGGGCCGCGTCCCTCTCAACTTGAACCCCACGGGCTACGGGACAGTCGCGGGCTGCCTTCTCCTAATCAAGTGTCCGAGCCGCTCTGAAACTCCGGCGGCGCGTTGGCCACAGGAAGTTTATTTTCAGTGTCTTTTCTAAAAGGAGGAAATAGAAGTTTCTCCGAGCGGGCAGCCTTTCTTTTCGCCTTCTTTTGCTCTGCCCGAAATCGGGGGTCCGCAGACCCGGCTGGCGTGACTCGCCGGGCTCCCCTTCTTTTCTAATTTCCAGTTTTTGATAGAACCGGCGGTCCCGGCTGGGCTCCGACTGCGCGCGGGGGCGGGAGGGCGCGCGCAGGCGAGGAACCGAGGGACGCGCCGACTTTTTAGAGGGAGGGCCCCTCACCGCTCGGCGCTGGTAGAGCAGGAAGAAGTGCAGCGCTCGGCGCGCGGGGCCACTGTTCCCG